CACTTCCTCGCTCCCGGGTATTTGGGGTTAATGGCATCCTGAATAGAAACAGCAGTTTAAAATCCTCTCCCTTCCTTCCTCTCCTATTTTATAAAGAAGATCCAAATCCGGCTGCAATCCCCAGGGCAAAACTCGCAGCGCTGAACAGGAGGGCGTGCCAGAGGGGAGAGCCAGGGCAGGAAGGGAGGAAGATGCTGGGCTCATTTCAGGTTGTGACCTAGGAGAGTCACCCTACCCTCCATGTCCCCATTTTCCCACAGCTCAGCTGGACCTGTGCTGGGCCTGCTCTGGGACTGCCACTCTGGGACATGAGTGGGACAAAGTCCAGCCTACCTGATCAGAGCTCTGTCCTGCAATCTGTCAGCTAAATGTGACCAGGCTGCTGCTGAGGAACAGGGCTGGCTTCAGACCACCCCAGTGGTGCACTGGGCACAGGGTGCATTTGATCCATGCCTCTGTCATGGGAATGAGATGCTCAGCTGCTCCAAAGCAGAGGCAGGTTTTGGGCCAGATAACAACCTGCCTTCATTGCAGATAGTTGCTACAACAGCAGGGATTAGCCTGAAGGCAACTGGTGCATCTTGAGGGACCCAGGTCCATGATAGCAGGATGGACAGATGCTGGCAGGAGAGCCATCTTAGCTGAGGCATGGCAGCTCCACGTCTCTGGGTCCCACTTCCTGGGGAAGGAAATGCCTTTTCCTCCATGTGCTGGGAGAGCCCACTGCCTCCCCTTTCTCCCCAAGAAGTCCAATGCATGATCACCAGTTGCTGAGAGGGAGCACCAGTATCGCTTTGCAGGAGGATGCCTCTGAAGAGCAAAGGGAAAGGGGGAAGTGGAGCAAAGCAGCAGCAGAAGAGAGACAGAGCAAGTGAGTCTGGGGTCTTGTTTCCCTCCAGCCAGCAAGAATGTGCCTCTCCTGTTCCTCTCCTGCTGCTTCCCAGCTCCAGCAAAGGCAGGCATTGTGGGCTGCTAGAAGTGGGAGCTGGGAGTACTGGGGCAAAGGATTGCACTGGGGCCCCATGGGACAGTCTGGCTCTGGCTTTCGCATCTCCTCCAGCCTTGCTCACCCTGTGCCAGAGCAGCAGCACAGTTACACCCTGCCCAAAGCACCCTACACCACACTGCACCCTCCAGCCGAGCAGGATCCACGGGGCAGGGCAAAGAGAGAGGTTCTGCCAGGCCCCAGCGTTTCCTATGTGCCTCTAAAAGTGCAAGCATGCTCCAGGCTGGAAGAGCATCTGGGGTTGGATTTCAGAAGGGGTCCCCAAGCCTGTCTGCACTGTAGCTACTGCCCCATCTTCACTGCAAAATCTCAGCCCTCAGTCCCAAATGAGTGTGCATCTCTCCAGGGCAGCCACTTCAGGTAAAACCAGCTACACCTTGTCTCTGTGTCTGACAGGTGTCTGCACAAATGCTGCCTTGGTGCTGGTGTTTGAGCTGGAGGTGTGCCCCAGCCAAGTTTTCCTGGGGCAAACATCCCAAGGCAGGCTTCCCCTGGGCCATTTAACAGCCCTTGGTGGCCCTGGGCCAGGCCCTTTTGAAGAGCTGCTCTTGACTCTGTCCCTTCCTTCTTCCCTCTGGCTGCAGAAAGCCAAGCTGAAGAGAAGTACAGGAAAGCAGCACTAGAGGCTGACACATGGAAAGAGCATCTGAGTAAGGTTGGGAGGAGCCAGAGTCTGGGGCAAGCAAGGGATGCCCACTACCCTGCATGCACTTCCTAGGGACTAGCCCTTCCCAGTGCCAAATCATGCCAGAGGATGGCAGGTAGCCACCCTTGTGTGTGAGCTCCAGCCCCTGGTGTGCAGCACAGTAGCTGCTTACAGAGGCCAGCAATGCTGCAGAGATGGCAGAGAAAGAGAGGAGCAATGATGAAAGCAGATGGGAGGTGGTAGGGATACTGCAGTGGGGCAGTGCCTTGGAAATGCTTTCCTAGCATGGCACTGAGCTGAAATGAAGGGGAAGTTTCTTGCTGAGATTCACTCTGGTTCAGGCAAGGCTTGGGGCCAGGCATGGGCTAAGATGTCCACATCCCCCTGGCTTTGGGAGCAGAGAAAGGCTAGGAATAAGTCACTGCTGAGCCAAAGTACCAAGGAGGTACTGGGCAGGGAGTAGCCACCCAGTATGGCTTGGATGGTGCCCTTTGCCTGCCTGTGTTCAGGTCAGGGCTGTAGTCAGAAGGCGTGTTGTCCCCATGGCAGCCCTGTGCATCTCTGGCTCACAGATCACTGGAGAGACGTGACCTGGCAGGCAAAAGCTGACAATGAAGGGCTCAAGTGGAGGCTGTAGGACCTGGAGAAGAGGTTTGAGCAGGCATGGGAAGAAGACAAGTGAGACATTCATGAAGGTGAGCACAGAGGTGGGAGGGGACAGTGGGATGGATGCAGGGACTCCACAGCTTGGTGCTGCTGGAGGAAGCCAGCCAAGTTTACCCCCCCACACCCCTTTGGCCTTGACCACTCAGCCCCAAACCACCCTGCTGTGGGCTAACCCTGCTCCCTCCCATGCTGTCAGCATGCAAAAGCCCTGGACATGGACTCCTTGCACTCTGGATGCTGCTACTCAGCACAGGCAGAGGAGACTACAGAGGCAGTGACTTCCCTGCCTGCAAAAGTCATTGTCTCACAATTTCCGTTAGTGCTCAAGAAGGGGCTGAGTTTAGCAGAGGTAAAACCTCAGTCAGAGGTTTGCGGTCTTTGCCACATGCAAAACTCCATGCTCATCTTCACTCTCCCACGCTCACAGAGACGTAAAACTTTCCCTCTAGGGATCCCTTCTGCCCCCCCTGGCATTGTGACAGCCCTGCCAGGCAGGGAGAAGGTGCAGGCACAGCTGCTTCTGATGTGTCACCCTGCAAGGGGAGCCCTCAGGTCAGGCCTTGCGGGAGCTCCTGCTTGGTCTCAGGTGCTGGGATCCAAGCACAGGGACCACATGGTAGTCCCTCCTATAGTCACCACATTTGTTCCCTTCTCCATTCCCTGGCTCCCAGAAATGACATGACAATAACAGGAGCTACAGATGCAGACAGCAGCCCACAGCCAGCACTTGGAGGAAAAGGTGAAGAGTCTGGAGGAGCAGCTCAGTATGGCCCACTGGCATGCCTGCCCCTTGCTGGTGGGTGGGGATGGGGTTTGCTCCAGGGCAGCAAAGTGCATGTAGGGGGAGCGAGGGGAGACGGGAGTCATTTGCCCTGTGATGACAGCACAGCAGCAACTGAAGGCAAAGCCTGACCCTGTTCCCAGTGCATCCCTGATCTTGGGAGATGCTGACTGCAAAGGGGATGCTGTGATCCCATCCCTGTCCCAGAGCCCTGTGCCACCCCAGAGAAGAGGGGGATTGGGCAGAAGCTGTGCTGCACACTGCCTGCACCCTCCCATACACTGGTCATGCAGTGCCAGGCTCCTGTACCCGCACGCTCAGTGTCCCCTGCCTCTATTCCCACACCCCACAGCCATCAGGCTCTGGGAGAGGCAGCAGACCCAGGAGAATCCCACCCAGGCACTAGCAGAGAGGGACAGGACCATCGCCCAGCTGCAGGACAGGCTCGATGCCATAGAGAGGGAGTATGAGAAGATACTCCACGTGAGTGGGGACAAGGCTGTGGGAGGCTCCCCCTAGCAGCATGGTCCCCCCTTCTCACCATTCTCTTTCCCAACACCAGGGTAGCCTGGACCTTGTGCTGGCAAGATGGCAGGGGCCAGCCAGCACTGGGAAAAGGCAGGAATGACTATCACCATGGAGCACAAGGAGCACCTACAGGAATTTGGCCTCAACACCCTGCAGATATAGCACCCTCGGTCACTCAGGACAGAGCCCCCACCTCCCTATCAGCACACTTGAAGAGCTTCCTACATCCCCTGCCCAACACCCCAGCTGCCCCAAGCTAGGTAAGAGAGGATGGGTCCTGCCTGGGTGTGGGATGCACTGCTGAGTCACAGTCCCCTCCATAACATTACCCACATGAACAGCAGTGTGGATTTGTCCTTTAATCAAATCCCAAACGGGTGATGCAGGAACAGTGCTGTGATGGGCTGCAGACACTCACTGCCCACAGGTTCATAGGGAGGTGAGAAGAGGAGCAAAAGAGAGATATTCGTGCAGTGGCAGACCTGAGCCAACAGACTAAGAGGTGTGGGGTTCCTCCAGCACCCCACTGGCCTCTGCTGCTCCCTTTCCCCTTCACACAGCAGCCTGAAGGCCAGCCCTAGGCAGAGCCAAGCCTCAGGCTCCCCAGTCCCCTGGGTGGTGGCATGGAGGGCAGTACCTCAGCTCTCCCAGGAGCTCCCAGAGCCTGGAGCTGGACAAGGGCTTCAGTGCAATGTCCCTACATACACTTGGAGGCAGCTGGGCTGGCAAAGGCACAGACCTGTCTTCAGGTTACAAGAAGCCACCGCCATGGTTAATAAAAGCTTGGATGAATCTCTGGGAGGTGTGATGCTGCAAGCCTCGTCGCGGGCACGGAGACACAGCAGCTGTACCTGCAACAGCTACGCTAAGCAGCACTGTGCTCTCCAGGGAGACAGGTGGGTGGCATTGATGGGCTGGATGTGGCCTGGGTCAAGGCGCTGTGTGGGGGAGTCTAGCTGGAGGCAGGGTGCTCCTGGGCCACTAGAACGTCTGGTGCAGCCTCCTCTGCTCCTCCTGGCACGGGCTCTGTGGGGACACAGCAGGAGCATTGTGGGCAGCATACATCCACCCACCCCAACATACTCCACCCTTGCCCCATGGGCAGGTTGGAGGGGTCTTTCTGCCTGGCTCCTGTGGCTAGGGGACCACACAACTCTCTCCTGCCAGCATCACACCTGCCAGGGAAATATTAGGACAGGTAGGGCAGGAGAGTGCCAGTACTCAGAGCAGTGGGACACAGCAGGGGCATTGTGGGCAGCATACATCCACCCACCCCAACATACTCCACCCTTGCCCCATGGGCAGGTTGGAGGGGTCTTTCTGCCTGGCTCCTGTGGCTAGGGGACCACACAACTCTCTCCTGCCAGCATCACACCTGCCAGGGAAATATTAGGACAGGTAGGGCAGGAGAGTGCCAGTACTCAGAGCAGTGCCAGGCTGTGAGCAGCACTGCCACGAGGGCCTAGCAAGAGGGGTTACCTGTGTGATCCCTATACTGTTGGCAGCAGCCAACAGCCAGGAGCCAGGTCCCTTTGGTCCCACCTCAATGTGACAGAGTCCAGGGGAGCCACTGGGAGAGGGCAGGGAGGGTGTGCGGGAGCCTGAGGCAGGGTCACTGTCCTCAAAGAACAGCAGAGGGGACAGCCCAATCTGTAAGAGCAGAAGAGGGATAGCCATACAGCTCCTGGCACTCCACAACAAGCCAGGTCCCCTGGAGAGGACCTCACTGTGCAGGCCTGGGGGCAAGACACCCACCCCATCATCCAGTCTTGCAGCACCCCAGAGCTCCCCAGCCAGGGTGGGACCACGCTGGGTCTCCAAAACCTTACCGACTGGTAGAATTGATCACCAGCAGGGTCGATGACCAGCAGTGTCACCTGGTCATCACGGGCACGGATCCTGAGTACCGTCTGCTGGTGGTCCAGTCCCTCGATGCTTTCACCATTCACAGCCAGGAGACGGTCCCCTTCCTTCATCCCTGCCTGCTCGGCCGGCAGCCCCGCATCCACGTCCCATAGGAACTGGCCTGCCACAGTGAGACAGAGGGAGGGTGAGGAGATGCTCACAGAGGCATTCAGCCAGAGGGGAACTGACCCCCGTGTCCAGGTGTCCCGCTGTGGGCACAGGGCTTGCAGCTATCCCTGACCCTCAGGCGTGCTTTGCTCAGGTATGGACTGCCCCCCCTCAGCCCCCTCACCTGTGACCCCTGAGCTGCAGTCATCCTCCTTGAGCAGAAACCCATAGCCAGCTGGACCCTTCACCATGTGCAGCTCCCGGACCTTGAAGGGGAGCCAGGAGGTGTCCGCCAAGGCAGCTGTGATCCGCAGGCCCCGCAGGCGGTAAAACTCCTCCACAGCACTGGATGCCACCAGCAGTGTCACCTTGCTGCCACTCTGCTTAAGCTGGATGGGAAATGCAGGGCGCTCAGTGACGTTGCCAGCCCTGGTCCTCTGCCCCACTGCACTGGGGGCACGCACCTTCCTGGCGAGCTGTGTGTGTGAGTAGTTCTTCACGCTGGCCCCATTCAGCTCCAAGAGCCAGGATCCTGGTGGCACGCCTGCTCTCTCCGCTGGCCCATCCTGCCACACCGACAGCTGGAAGGTGCCCTTCACGCCTGCAGAGAGGAGAAGAAGCAGTCTGGGGCACTGCACCAGCAAGAATCATGGCACTGGCATCCTGCTGCCCACTTTACCTTCCGGACTCGACACGCTGAAGCCAAAACCACTTTTGTCCCGTGTGATGTGGCAGAGGCGTGGGCGAATGTCAGCTGGCAGCATCTGGGACAGGTCCTTGCCCAGGGCTTTGGCTGCTTCATAGGAGCTGCTGTCCAGCACTGCCAGTAGGACTTGGTTCCCACTGGCCTTGATCTTCTGCACCACCTGGAAGGACCCAGGCTCTGAACTCTGGGCAGAGCACCCCTTCAACCACAGCCTGTGTGATCGGGGTCCCAGAGGGCAGCGAGATCTCACACCCTCTGTGCCTCTGGCCAGGAAGAACCCCGGTGTTCCTACAGCCTCAGCGCGCTCCCAGCTTACCCTGTGGTGGTCCATGTGGTCCACAAAGTGGCCATTGACTTGGAGGAGCCGGTCCCCGTCCTGCAGCCCCCTGCGCTGGGCCAGCCCCCCCAGCTCAATCTGCCGGATGATGTGGCCATGGCAG